TCACGGCTCACCCCTCGAAGGGCCTCGTACACCTTGAAAGTGGTCGACCTCATCATCAGCGTCAACTGTTCAAGGGAGTTTCCTACCGATCGGATCAATCGTTGTCTCCCCCTTTCAGAGGGATGGACAGGCTATGGCTTCTATCCCCTCTCAGGGATGAAAAGGATACGCCTTGTTAATGTGAATGGATCTATGATATAATCTATTACCGATTCGGGCCACCCTTACCCCATCCTCGATTCAAGGCGCCCTAGTAAGGCCTACTACCCCTGCCCGCCAGTAAAAGGAAGGATCCTCCAGTTTTCGAGGTGGTCAACAAAGGCGGTCGAAAGACGCAACTAAATGATAGTATTGTCCATTGATTTAGTACGGCTCAGCAGCCCAAGGCCCATGGGCCCCATCACGATTCCTAGCAGGGTCCTTGTGGAATGCCTCGGGCAATGGGAGGGGAAATTAAGTAGATAAGGGAATGAGAGGCTGTTCAAGCGACGGAGCGTTGGTTAGTGATTAGGTAGATCTAGAAGGCGTCATGTAAACGATGAGGAAACGTAGGTGTGGTTTCACTCGTAGTTCCTACCACTCCTTGGGCAATTCAGTGATGCAGCAATCTCAGTCAGGGAAGTAGTGCATATTCGCCGTATATGACGGCGGAGAGAAATAAGCCTCCAGACGATATGAATTCATCGGCTTATGACTGAATTCGAGAGTCGGCGTGGATCTGATGACCGCCCGAGAGCAGCGTAAGCTGAAGCGCTACATATGCATTTATATAATCAGAATATGAGGGGTAATGACGTAAGAGTTGGGGAAATTGTGGTATAAGAGAGTGTCGTGGCACTGCTAGATGGTGCGGAGTGGAGATGGATCTAGTAGTAGTCGTAATCGTAAAGCAGCTACTGTCGTATATTCGTCGAGTTTGTATTGGTTCAATTCACACGAAGTGTTGTGTTCGTTCACCGTCACTGCGCCACGAAATTATCTCCTCGAGTTTCGTCCCCTTGGTTTTTCTGTACATTATGGACAATATCGTCACAGCGGCTCAAAACTCCGCGACGGACTTTGGCTTTTCCCGCATGGTCTACTCCTACGCCCGGCAGCTTCGTATGGAGAGGAAGAAGTATCCTGACCAGCATACAGACGTGGGGGGAATGAGGCAGGTCGTATTGGACATAGTTCGATCGGTGAGGAGAGCCGCGCGGATTAGACGCTTCTTGAGGGGGATTGTGTATGAGAGAGGCGCTCGGGACAGTGCAACAGAAGGGAGGCAGCAGAAATTGAAGTTGTTGCGGTCTGGGGATGAGGAGGGTTCGGATTATGATAGTGATGATGGTGGCGGTAGGAAGAAGAAGAAGGGCAGAGGTGGGTTACGACGAGGTAAGGGGAAAAAGAACGCCGGCGGGTCCTCATCGCGGAATAGGGCTGGGGTGGGTAGTGATGGGAGTGGTCATAATGATGATGATGATCTTGCTGGGAGTAATCAGTTGCTTATAGGAGGAGGTCTCTCAGAGGGGGAGGAGTTGGGCGGGTCACAACCGGCCGGTTCGGGTCTTGGGATGTCCGGAAGCACTCATGGTGATGGTGTTAGTGGTGGGGGTCTTGGCGAAAAGAAACGTCGAAAAAAGGGTGGTGGAGATAACTCACAAGCCGATGCGGATGAGAACAGCAAAGTCACTCAGTCGAGGAGTAAGCCTAGGTGCTTTACCATGATGGACGAAGCGTGTGAAAATGTGACTCCCACATCACCGATAAAGAGTTTACTCGAATTACACGCACTTTTGAAACTTATCGAACCTAGAATGCACGAGTTCCGAGGCCTCAGTGTTTCCTTCTGGAGAGCATTGAATCATCTATTGAGATGCTGTCAAGATCGCGAACGGTGGGGAAGGGATAGGGACACCGTAGAGGAAATCCAGATGTATTGGGTAGGGGTAGTTGAACAGTTCGAAGGCCGTGTGGTGAGGCGGGGTGGGTGCCGACATGATAAGGTCCCTAACATTGACTCCTTCTATGATAAGATTGGGGCCAGCGATGAATTGGCTGAGAGCGATGGGGAGGGTTTGGGGAGGGAGAATGTGGATAAGGTAGTTGACGGCTATTTTGAAATGAAGTGTCGTGGGAATTAATAGAATTAATTTAATTCCGACCTGTGCATTAGTTGTTTTATGGGGGAATCGAACCCACAACCTTTACATAGGAAGTTCAACTCTTTGTCCAGTTGATATATCATCGGCTATATGCATGGAGCTTTGTAGGTTCTATACCCAGGGAGTCCTCGTGATGTTAGGCATGTTCTGTTTGATTTCACCGAAGCTTCTGAATGGGACAGTGCTGTAATTATCATATCTCCTCTCCTCCCCTCCTCCCATTATCGTTCCAGGTCATGGTTTATGCATATCATGTAAAGGGCATGCAGGGTCGACCAAGGAATCGACAATTCCGAGTGAGTCAGCGACTACTGCCACTCTGTATATTCCCCTCCCTCTCACCAGCCACCGTGGCTCCGACCTCCCCTCGGCCTCAAGCAACTCCCTATGGACGAGTCCATGCCCATCTGTCAATCATCTCAACACCATCATCTAGAACAGTTCTCGACCCGAGTGAGTCTTCGTCTACGCTACTGTAATCTCATAGTTGGCGAATATTTCTCTTGTCAGGAATGGAGCTTCATCGATGATATTCTCGATCTCAACACCGATGCCGCTGAGGCCATAGTCCGACTCTCCGTCCTGGGAGGGGAACATTTCCGAACACTCAATGATCGGACAGGCTTCTGCCACGATTAGCAGCTACTACCATCACATGTTCAACACGATAATACGTCTTATGAAGCTAACTCCCTATTATTGTGTTGGAGTGGGGATCTTGTTGGTCCCAGGGCTACACCGCTCAAGAGTCGTTATTCACTCCTCTTCGGGTCAGCGTCGACCTCTTCCTACCATAAATCGTCCATAAACGGCCATAAGGGAAAATCCCGAGCTTAGCCGAGGGAGCCGAAGCCATATCCGAATACTTCGCATATAATTGGCTTCGTAAACTTGCACACTTATTGATCCTATACGCATTTTGGCAACATCCTTATTGTGCCCGGCAGCCGTTTCGGACGACTCGATGATGCCTAGACGAGTCGTCAGATCATCGGTTCCGGACATGTGCCGAGCCATTCTACTCTCTGAGTCTTGGTATCTCTCCTGGAAAAGTTGAAGGGTTTAAACTCAGTTTTCTGAGAGCAAATGATTGTTCGCCTTGTTACTGCCCTGAACGAGAATGTTCATATTGATGGAATCATAATGTGCGGCCTTGGCTGCCTTCACAACTGAATTAATGGATCTGGTGGGCAACATAATTACATTGTGGCATAATTAAATTGTCAAAGTCGAACTTGATCGCAACAGAATTGAATTGTGACATAATTGAATTCTCAACGTCAAACTTGATTGTAACAGAATTGAATTGTGACATAATTGAATTCTCAAAGTCAAACTTGATTGCAACAGAATTGAATTGTGACATAATTGAATTCTCAAAGTCAAACTTGATTGCAACAGAATTGAATTGTGACATACGTGAATTCTCAAGGTCAAACTTGATTGTAACCTACGACTTACAACTTGTAACTTACTGTAAACTCAAGATGTCATTGTCACTCTTGCTTGCTTACTTGTCAAACTTGCATTGGAAATGGTTCGTTTTAGTTGGTACCATCAATTTCGTTTGGACGCGCAAGTTAGACTTATGAATTCGAAACGCGGAGATTAATCATACCGAAAATTAAAATGTCGAAGTCGTCTATAGGTAGTTCAAGTTCGTGTTGATGGAACTCTCTATTTCGTCAAGCGCCCATTGGGAACTTCAATTCTGTCTCTGGAGGAAAATCTATTCCATTGTTCTGAAGTCAGAATTATTAGCCGTGATTTTGAAGTTCAGAATCTGAACTTGAAAGTCACGGCTAATACAGAACGAGCTTCGGAAAGCACACAGACGGTGCGACTTTTTCTTATTGGCAACAAATCTGAGAGGGTCAGAGTCAGATGGGCAGCTTGGAATTGGCAAACGAGTGATGACGTATCTTAAAATTATTCGCTGTGAGTTATATTCGGCAATTACTCCAATCGATCGAGAATAAGTTAAATAGTACTATTTAAAATACAACATCATATAGGAGTTGAACGCAACTCTGGGGAGAACATGAGGAAAGTACGAGAAAACCTAGAGTAGATCCTGGGACCTTTCGGTTCGTGAACATACAGGTTAACCACGTGGCCAGATAGACCTAGTAGAACATATTCACTAGCCTAGACCTTGCACTCCACTATAGATTTGCATTCAGATGTATACAGTTTAGTAATATTGGTGTTCAAAACAACATTCTATGAAATAAATACCACACCTTCTCCAATCTCAGATTCAGCGAAGGTGAAATAAAAAGCTCAAATTCGAATTGAATGTTCGATTTCCGCACACTACTCGAAAATCAAATTTCATTTTCTTCTAACTTGTTATTCCATCATGGAGATGGTGTAGCTTGAATGACTTCGATGGACCTCGATTGGAGAACCCTCCAAGATAAGTGGCGACTAGCCAGTAAGGTTACGTCAAAGACGACTCCGTCCGCTCTGGACACAATACTCCGACGACCACCACCACCCTCCCCACCCACTTCATTTGGCATTGAAGAAGCCCCATCTACTACTGCTGTGTTGGCTCGAGATATACTCCAGGGTAAATGCAAGATACCAGGAGAGAAGGAGACACCGAAAACTACTGTGTGAGATCCAAACGGTTAGCCATTGAGTTGAATATAATATTGCCACAAATTGCACTTCTTTCTACTATGAGTATTAGTGTAGAACATCTTATGATGATGAAAATATGGAAACTCTCAAGTCGTGATTTCAGCTGGGAGAATCAAATACATATTTCAACACTGTACGGACCAGTGTGGGGAAATATGCACATGGTCAACTACATGTGAGAATTCTGGGGAATTCTTATTGGTGTCTGTACACTTCTACCCGAATTCGTATATCAACCCCCATAATTAGTAAGGAAACCCGTGAACTCAGCTGAAGAGAGTAAGCGCACACTGGTTGAAGTGTGTCAGGGTACCTTACTTGGCTGAAGTAATGGCGAAGGACATCGACGAGAGCATTCGTTTACCACATCGTTGCGCATTCGAAGCAGCTCTCAAAAATATCTTACCTCAAAAGAATGAAGATACAAAAGAGGTTCACAACACAACACGTCGACTATCATTCCTGCATATTGCTTATGATGGTTGCGTACTTGATACTGGGGAAAAGTTTGTGAACAGACCAGCCTCGGGTAGGTTTCTCCCATTGTTATGCTGAGGGAGTCCATGTGGTTGCCAGGCTCGGGCGGTGACGAAAAGAGTCAGCAAATCGATCCGGAATTCTCTCGCCTGTTATTCAATCTCAGTGGCGACACGGAGCTTGCTGCTCTGAGAGACATTATAGAGAAATAGAACTCCGTGATGGAGCCTTCATGAACCCT